GAGTCTCCAGGAATTAAAGATCATGTCATGATGAAACCTCCTTGAATACGTCCAACCAAAATTGACAACCCTATGCTGGGGGATTAATAACCAGTGCCCAGGATAGTTTGCTTCTGGTCACTAACCTCAGCAGGTCATCACATCCCTTGTGGTCAGAGGCCAGCAGTCTCGCTATGATGGAGCTATATTTTACGTAGCTATGAGGGGATGCTGTGGAACAATGCCTCTCCTCCCCCACCACCATGCCACATGGTGAAGTGGGAAGCAGTTGCCATTTGCATAGCCTTGGCTGTTGGTTGGCATGAAGATGCACGGATGCGGAAGTTCTAGAGTGCAAACTGCTTGGGGTCCTTCTGAGCATGGAAGCCCCCTGGGGGTCACCGGATGTTCCCATGCAGAGGGCTAGCAGGATTGTCCCTTCTCCATTCCACCTTGGGCACTCCCAGAAGCCATCCTGGGGCAGGAACTCTAAGAGGCTGTGGTCATGGAAGATGTGATCATCTACCTAAACCCATCAGTCTTTCTACAAATGATCTACCTGTGCATGGCGCATTGGCACACAGCAGAGTCAGGTCCCTGCTCCAATGAGCGTGCAGTCTCCGTTAGATATGATACAGTGAGGGATCACGGTAGCCAAAGGGACTTCAGCTTGAGTTCCCATCTTGCTGCAGGACATTGAAACACAACAAAATAATTATGCCCATTTCTTCCCTGGCAGCCACTCCTTTGCCAGAGTCTCAGATGTACGGCTTCTTGCTCTAGGGCACACCTGTCCTGTTCCTAGAGATGATGTGAGGTGGTGGGTGTAGGTGATGTCTGTGATTGGACGTCACTGATACAATGTTACACCATGCCAGAGGGCATATCAGGTGACAGAGACAGGAGGGCATTTGAACACACACATTAAAGTCCCACTCTGATGGCTGAGCATGGGAGCTTTTTCATCAATAGCAGACCATGCAACCAGGAGCCTTAACCCCTGAAGAGCAAGGAGAGCCTGCATACAGGAAGGTCCCTCCCTCTCTATGCCCGTACGGTTCTCCTTTTCTTTCCACTGCCAGCTGAAGATCTGTGGGGCCCTCGATGGTGTTTTGCCTCATGTGTCACCCCGGACAATGCTGTCATAAGTTCTAGCCGAGCCTCTTTTTAGCCTTTGTCCAGCAGATCAAAATCGTTGTGTCACAATGTCTTGGAATACACCCTATCGTAGTGTGCTGGGGAGGTGCCTCGTTGAAATTACTTTCAGTATTTCAGAATGCTTTTAAGGTTTTAATATTCTGTATGTGGAGAGAGAGCCCCATGGAAATCGGGACAGGAGGTGACCTCAAATTGATATCAACCAACCCCCCTTGCAATATCAGCGCTGTAGTGTCCTCCCCAGCTATTTAGTGTAGTGACAGGCTAGCTCCCTGCTTACACATCTGCCTGCTTTGCATCAGTACTGTACCGGAATGGTTAGCAGGGGCTGGTATGTTAGAGGGACGCATGGGCTAAGTGCATGTCTGAGCATTCTAGCTCTGGCTCTGGCATTGACTCTTTACGTGGCCGGAGACAAATCCCTGAATCTGTCTCAGCTGTCCCACCTGTAAAATGATGGGGATCATGATAATACTTCGCTGGAATCTTGTCTCATATATAGACTGTCTTTTTGTTCTGTGCTTGTGCAGCACCTAGCACAATGGGGTTCTGGTCCATAACTAAGGCTCCTAGGCTCTACAACAATACAAATAATGAATAATAATAAATTACTGAACGCTTGGAAAACACTTTGAAGATTATGATGTTCTGTTGTGTTCCCTGCAGCGGATTCTTCTGCTTTTGCAACCGAAGCAGTTTATTTTCCCAAAAAGAGAACACAATATGAAATATTAAAACCAAACAAAAACAACCCAGAAGAAGTCACCAGCTCAGGATAATTGCTACTCCTTCAGAAAGCTGGAAACCACAGTGTAACAGGAGCGGAGACTGGAAGGAAAAAAACATCCAAGTCACTCAAAATAACAGACATATATGACCTTCACCCTGACAATGAACATGATGTGACTCGTAGGGAAAGCCTGACAGGTTATCACCCTCTAGACTGCTGATAATTATCTTCACATCTAGTGTTTGAGGTGGAAAAAGGTTTATTGTTCAGAAAAATATTTTGAAAAGAAATAGCAGGAGGCTCATGCAGCCCTGCTACAGGCATCGCTGCATCGATAGATCGCTCGGGAAATGGAAGGATATGATTGGCTACTGGACTCAGAGAACTCTGAAGGGTCTCACTTTCAACCAATCAAAACTCTCTAGCCTTCAACATCCCACATGCTGCTACCTTTCTGACATCTCACTGGGGTTGTTCACATTTCCATAAAAGTGACCCTGTAAAAATGGCATGATGAAGGAAGTTCCATGGTGATTGTCACTCAGTTGTCTGTCTGGTGCCCTTGTCTGCATCATCCCCATTGTGGAGTCCTCACAGGGGGCTGATGATGGACTCTCGGACATGGACAACTTTGCCCTTAGTCACCAGTCCAGGTTTGCTGGCAGGCTTCTCCATCATGTTGGGGAGGGATAGATACTAGGTTTCTTCCTTCTCTGTCTCATAGGGCGCACGTGTGGTTGGATGTGGCTTCACCAGCTGTGGCAAAACCTTTGTCCAAGATTTTCTTAGACTTCACTATTTCTGGACACTGGGCTGTGGTACATCCTTCTCCTGCGTGCATGGTCCTTGAGCCTCCTTCAGCTTAGCCTCAGCATCCAGCTGAGGAGAAACCTAATTTGTTTTCTTCAGATACTTCAGGAATGAAGCCATGACTCCCATCAAGGGCTGGAATTTTATAACTGCAGACACCCCACTGTGGATGAAAAATACAGGTGCATAATCTACATGTGCAATTACACTGACTGTGCACAGTTGTGACAACTGCAGGTGCAAACAGCCAGGGAGATGTCTAAATCGCTTTTTGTACCCGCAGTTGCTGTGACTGCACATCCACGCGTGGGAACGAGAAATGCGATTACATGTGTGAAATTATCAATATTCAAGGCCTAATTGGCTCCATTTACAAGTCAACAGATGATTTTTCCAAACTCTGCCTGGTTCTGAAAATCCAGCTGGGTTCTTTATTCCATCATCGCCAGTAACAAAGGTTCTGTGATTGGAATGTAGTGATAGTGCAGGTGATGCTATATGAGACCAAATAGAATCCAGCTCACTCTCCATCACTGAACCACGGTGGCTGTCAGTCTTTGACTACTGGAGAGTCATCCATTGGGGGTAGCGGAGTGTCATCAGATAGATGAGTCACAATGCTTATGTCGTGAACATGCATCGAGAGGTGGTGACATTGCATCATGATGTGATGTCAACACATATACTGATGCAATGTGAGAATGTCGAGGGTCTAATGCAGTGGTGCCCAAACTTTTCCTGTCACGCCACTTCTTACCAGTAATGGAAGCTGTCTGCACCCCCGCTCCATTACTGCACAGTTGCTCAGCAGAGGAGTTTGGGTTGAAGGCAGAGCTGGGTATGGGGGAGGAGCTGGGGCTAGAGGCAGAGCTGGGCTGGGAGTGGACCAGAGGGAAGAGTTGAGTTGGGCTGGGGGCGGTACAGGAGGCAGAGTGGAGCTGGGCTGGGAGTAGAGAGGGAATGAGGGCAGAGGTGGGCTGGAGGCGGAGATGGGATAGGGGCAAAGTGGAGCTGGGACTGGAGCTGGGCTGGGGGCAGAGTGGAGCTGGGTCTGGAGCTGTGCTAGGAGCAGAGCAGGGACCACTGGTCTAATGCCTTTCTTTCCTTTCTGGTCAGTGGGCTTGGCAGGCTCCAACTCTGTGAGTGGCGCTTCAGGTCAATGGAGATGTAGACCTCCCAGAATAGAGCTCAAGAGACATGAATTGGCCACCGTTGCCATGAGAGGTCTAAGAGGCAGAGAAGCGTGTTTGTGTTAGAATCAGCCTATAATGACTAGGAGGCACTCTGGGCTCAGAGCCATTGAATAAAAAGGGCCTCTTTTACAGTCACATTTCTGACTTTCCTGGTGCTTTAAAGGAAAGCCCAGTGTTTAATGCCTAGGAGGGTGAGTGGCTCTGCTTGGAAATCACTACATCTCTGGATATGTGCCTGAGATGAGCAGATTCTGGAAAGTTTTGTGTCCATTGCCTCTACCTCTCTTAGTGAGACAGGTCCCAGGAGACCTAAAGAATGGGTCACACTTTACAATCGGGGTCAATACCTTGCAGAGGGTTAACAAAGCATTCACAGACCTTGGACTAAAAGGTTGACCAATTGTTAGAGTCCAACAGGTCAATAGGTTGCTAATGACCATGGCTTAAAATCTTCTGTGTAGGAAACACCTTCTAATTATGTGCTTATAACCACCTATATAACACATAATACTCAGATCTGCAACATAATTCTGACATCTATCAATCCTTTGTTTACAAACCATGTATGTAACTAAATGTACCCTTAGAATAAAGTGTACCCAAAGAAGACATATCCTATCCATCCCATTTCTAAAGCACCAATGACTGTGGAATCTGGGCCTCAGATATAGGCATTTCTACCATGTTCATCACTGTGTTAGCTGAGTGCTTATAATCATAGAAATGTAATGCTGGAAGGGACCTCAAGAGGTCATCTAATGCATCCCCCTGATCTGAGGCAGGATTAAATATACCTAGACCATCCCTGACTGGTGTTTGTCTAGCCTGGTCTTAAAAACATCCAAGGATTGGGATTCCATAAAAACTCCCCATAATCTTATAGATTATGAATTTTTTTGACTACATCTGACTCTCTAAGGGTTAGAATATGGAATGGTCCAATTAGGAGCCTTCAAGGAGAGGTTTTCTCCCCTCTAACCCTTAAAGGACCAGCTGTAGATATTTCCCAGGAAAACTGCTGTGGCATCCCACACTCTCTTCAGTAAATGGAGGCAGGATGCTCTCCCTCTCTCTTGCTCCCATGTACACCTTGTAACCTCACCCATTCCTTCTTTCCCCCTTTGATCTAGGTGGCCAACCTGCTGAGACTCTTCCAGATCCCGCAGATCAGCTATGCCTCCACCAGCGCTAAGCTCAGTGACAAGTCTCGCTACGACTACTTTGCTCGCACCGTCCCACCAGACTTCTACCAGGCCAAGGCCATGGCCGAGATCCTGCGCTTCTTTAACTGGACCTATGTCTCCACAGTGGCCTCGGAGGGTGACTACGGTGAGACGGGTATTGAGGCCTTTGAGATGGAAGCCCGGGCCCGCAACATCTGCATCGCCACCTCTGAGAAGGTGGGGCGCTCCATGAACAAAAAGACCTTCGAAGGAGTGATCAAGGCCCTCCTGCAGAAGCCCAGCGCTAGGGTGGTGGTGCTGTTCACCCGCAGCGAAGATGCCCGGGAGCTGCTGGCAGCTGCACAGAGAATCAATGTCTCCTTCACATGGGTGGCCAGTGATGGCTGGGGTGCCCTGGAGAGCGTGGTGGCGGGAAGCGAGTTGGTGGCGGAGGGGGCCATCACCATTGAACTGGCAGCCTACCCCATCCAGGAGTTTGCCATCTATTTCCGGAACCTCAACCCCTACAACAACAGCCGGAACCCCTGGTTCCGGGAGTTCTGGGAGCACAAGTTCCAGTGCAGCTTCCATACCCAGGACTGCAGCCGGCACTCGCTGAAGACAGGCAAGTTCGAGCAGGAGTCCAAGATCATGTTTGTGGTCAATGCTGTTTATGCCATGGCCCACTCCCTCCATAACATGCACCAGGCGTTGTGCCCCAATGCCACCAAGCTGTGTGACTCCATGAAGCCGGTTAATGGCAAGAGGTTCTACAAGGACTTCATGCTCAATGTCAAGTTTGATGGTAAGCCCACGGCATCAATAGGGATTGATGGCTGAACTGAAGGGGTTGGGATGGAATGGGCAAGGGAAATCAGAGGGTTTAACTAGGAGTACTCAAAGCCTGGGGATTTCAACTGGTCACATCTGAGCCAGACAAGCCAAACTTGCTGAGCGCACTAGGTCTGTGATTCCTCACATGATGATGTCCTTGCCCAGAGTCCTTTGGCCCAGGAGTTCACACACTTCTCCTGCCTCTTGATGATGGATTCTGCCAGGCTGGTGGCATGAAACCGCTGCATCAGGTGTCATGTTAACATTGCATCGGGACACAAACATTGTTGCACAAGGGCATAGTTAGGGTCTCAGGTTTCAGCTTGGCTGAACGTTGTGGTTGAACGTTGTGTTGGGTTCAGCTTCTTCTAATTTTCTGGAGAATGACTGACTAACTGGGAGGGTTGTGAGACCATTTCCTTCAGCTGACCATCAGCTTCCCAGGCACCCTGGCTGATGCAACTTCCATTATTCCTTTCATAACCTGTTGGAGTTTTTAATATTCAGCACCAAAATATTTGTAATAGTTGATCACATATTTTCCTACCAGCTCTGCTGTTTCTCGGGGACATCTGTCTAAACAATCAGTTCCAATGTCAGTTCTGCTAGGCCAGGTGAGCCTGGAGAATTGGCCAGTCACATCTCTTCTTCCTTAGATTCAGCATTCTTGTCGGGGCAGAGCAGTCAGATATAAGTCAAAGCAATTTAAAACTGTTCAGAGGCTTTATTCTGACGAGACTACATTGCACTGACCCCGCGTACGGCGGATTCTTACCCCGGTGTATCATTTGTAGGAGACTCTGGAACACTGGCTTAAGATGCCACAGAAACAATGAGGACTCAGTATATTCCAGACTGCGTCCTTCTCCTTTGCGTTCTGGGTTTTATTCAGTCACAGGCAGCTAGGAGAATGTGGTGCTCTCTACAGGACTGACCTGCTCCTGAGATGGGCATTATACTGGCACACCGTGAAGACCTGAGCTTTCTGGATGGAGGAACCATCCAAAGGGTTCTCCTCCAGGCCAAGCTCATTAGACACCTGGGAGGATGATTATCAATCTATCAATTATCCAGCCTCCATCACTGTCATATCTGGCAGCATACAGCCCTTACCGTAGCTATCCTCACCACATCCCGGTGAGATAAGGAAAAACCCATGTGTGACGGGTTCGGTCACAGAGACCCCTTGGGACTGTCACCTGATGTGCTGAAATTACTTCTGAGATCATTTGCCCTGCCAGCTTGGGACTCCAGAACCCTGCCTTGTTGAGCCAGACACGCTAGCCTGCTCCTGCTGTAACACAGACTCAGGGTCTGGTCCATGCCCCCAAAGCTGAAGACTTAACTGAAAACAGCTTAGCAGGTTACCTGTCTCCAGCACCCAGACACCCAGTTCCCAATGGGATCCAAACTCCAAGTAAATCCATTTTACTCTGTATAAAGCTTATACAGGGTAAATTTATAAATTGTTTGCCCTCTATATCACTGATAGAGAGATATGCACAGCTGTTTGCTCCCCCAGGTATTAATCACTTACTCTGTGTTTATTAATAAACAAAGGTGATTTTATTAAGTATAAAAAGTAGGATTTAAGTGGTTTCAAGTAATAACAGACAGAACAAACTAAGTCACCAAGCAAAATAAAGCAAAAACACGCAAGTCTAAGCCCAATACATTAAGAAACTGATTACAAGTAATACCTTGCCCTCAGAGATGTTCCAATAAGCTTCTTTCACAAACTAGACTCCTTCCTAGTCTGGGCCCAATCCTTTTCCCTGGTACAGTCCTTGTTAGTTCCAGCAGACATCCCAGGTGGTAAGCAGGGGTTTTCTCATGACTGGCAGTCCCTTTTGTCCTGCTCCACCCCCTTTTATAGCTTTGACACAAGGCAGGAATCTTTTGTCTGTGCTTGTCTGCACCCCCGCCTCATCAATGGAAAAGTACAAGGATTAAAATGGATTCCAGTATTATGTGACATGGTCACATGTCACTGTAAGACCCCTAGTCTCCATGCTTCCTGGGTTGGCCCACAGGTACACAGGAAGGTTTGCAGGTAAATAAACTATTTACAACCAATTGTTTGGGTCAGTGGGAGCCATCAAGATTCTAAACCGCCATTAATGGCTCACACTTTGCATAATTACAATAGGACCTCAGAGTTATACTTCATATTTCTAGCTTCAGATACAAGAATGATACATGCATACAAATAGGAGGAATATATTCAGTAGGTTATAACCTTTGTTATGATACCTTACAAGACACCTTTTGCACAAAGCATATTCCAGTTACATCATATTCACTCTGTGATACAGGAGGGCCAGGGAGCAGTGGAAGAGTGGTCGAGGGGAAATATATAAGCCCTAGGCTAATTAAGGCATGGTTCCCTGTAGACTAGGGACGGTTGCTACAGGTTAATTGGAGCACCTGTAGTTAATTAAGGCCCTGTCAGGAACCTAATAAAACCCCCTGCTTCAGGCAGTCAGAGGAGGAGGAGGAAGGAGAGAGGACTGGAGCATGGAGATGTTTGTGAGATTTGAAAGACCAGAGAACCAAAGTAAGGGAGACCCTGTCCCGGCAGGGCATGGAGACTCTCTCCCCCAGCATCTAAGGACTGAGGGTAATCCCACTAAGGGGGAAGAGGGTAAGAAACCCACAGGGGCTGGGACTCCGAGTGAGGAGCAAACTCAGACCCCTTCCCCACTTCTCTCCTCTACCACCTTCACAGGCACTAGTGGGGCCCTCGGTGCCCAAGAGCAGGGGCAAGGGGTGGAGTCTTAGCCCCCTCCTCCCCCCAAGAAAAGCACAGGACCCACCATACGAACATCAGCCATCTTGTCACAACACTCATAAGCATATTTCTATAAACATATGGAGTGCAATGTCACACCATGCATCTCTGCGTAGTCCTGAGGGTGCTAGGCATGGCTGGAGACTGGCATGCCAGCCACTAGTTGTCCTGAGTTTATTCTCAATACACGTTGCTCCATGTAATCTTCCATGTGTGTCCAGGGACCAGTTCTCAGGTATACTGGTGTGGGCAGCAATAGCTCCCTGAGTCCACCCCTCTCCAGTTAGAGCAGAGCTGGATACGTCAGCCCTGCTCCCAGCCCCAGCATAGGGGGCAGGCTGGAGGCAGATCAGGGGCATGGCTGGTCTCTGCTTCCCAAGGCCCAGTCTGGTGTTAGTGGAGCTGCTGTCCAGCATAACTAGGGCACAGTTCCCCTCTCATAATCTTATGAAGAGTAAAGGGAGCAGGCTTGCCAGAGAACCTGTATATACTTCATCTCCCAGCTTGGCAATCAAGAGACCACATAGCAGGAGAGAGATTGCGGACTTACCTATATTTGATTTCATATATAAGCAGCCTTGGGCTGTCAGGCTTATGTCGGGGAAGTTAGTGCTGCTTAGAAAAATGTACTGTATTATCGGTCTCCTTGGGGAGGATTCTCATGGAGATAAATGTAGTATTTTCATGTGACGTGTTTAATACCAACCTGAGATGATAATAGAGGTGGGGGAGTGAATGATTGTCAAGTTGAAAGGATGTACTTAAGTGAAAAGGAATATGCATGTTATTGTTAGGTACTATAATGCTATACAAGGGGTGAATATAAAACCAAGGCATGTGGGGTGGCGGGAAAGTCATTGAATATTTGCTCAGATCTGAAAGTGAATTTGGATTCATGTGTGTTTGTGACCCTTTTGTGTCCCCATTCTGGTAACATCTGAGTGCTCCTTTACTAGTACAAATACAGCAAATACTAGTACAAATTTGCATGAAGGCTGGAGTAGTCACTGAAAACAAATTCCAGGTGGTATATTCAGTTGTAAAATTAACAGTGTGCAATTCACACTGTCTTTGGTTAATAAGTCATGTGGCATAGTATATGTTCCCTGATTGGACAGTTTATGTAACTGACCAACAGAGCATGAATTGTGAATATTCAAATGTTCGCAATGTAACTTCCAAATGTAGCTTTAGTTACAGATTCATAAATTAGCGGCATAACTTTACAAATTGCACATTACAGATTACATTGTCGTATTTGTAAATTGTGCAACCTGCAGGCTAAGAACTATTTGCTGAAGGAAAATTGTGAATGGTTCTGAAAATATATAGCTTTGATAATGTTGGGATTTGTTTGTGGACAGAAAAAGAAGTCATTTTTTTTAAGAGATTACTTGTTGTGAATTATTTGTTCAGCTCAAATCAGAAGCACCATTGTGGCTTTGCAATATGGTGGGGAAATGAGATAGTTAACTCACGTACGTTAATTAACATGTTAAACGTCACTTAGCATTTAGTGTGGGCAAAGGCAGAGATTTAGCTGGTTGAGAATATTGTGTGATCTAATTGTAACCCTTCTGCCAGGTGGAGCCAGCAGCAACAAGGGCCGGGTTCAGTATCTAGAGGTTCCTTTTCAACAATACAACACAAACCGGCTCGAGCCACCACCCAGTGACCTGGGACAATTACACACCACTCCCTGGGTGCCTCTAAGAGGCAATACTTCCCCTCTCACAAGCACAGAGTCTGAGTGTAGCAAAAACTTTTAATAAAAGGAGGGAATTAACTCAGCATTAATTTGGGAAAACACTGCAACTAGGGCTCATAAACACAAACCGTGAGCAAAAGACCCACCCCCAAGTCAGTTGGGCAGTGTCCTTTTCCCATCAGGGTCTTAAGTCAAGCAACCCAAGTGTCCCTTTAACGTGCCTGTCCTCTCTCTGTACCCCACTCACAGTTGCTATCCTTGGCCAGTGCAGCCCCAGAGTTCAGCAGTTCATCCGCAGAGTCCACCTCCCACCCTGTGTGGAAGGCAAGGAGGGGTAAGCTCTGCGGGGCTCTGCTTTGGCCCTCTCTACTAGCTTTCTCTGCTGGCTGCTTGACCCGCCTCTCCACCAGCCACCCGGCCTGCCACCCTACTAGCCACTTGCCACACCTCTCTGCCAGCTATCCACTCACCAAGATGTCTTCAGCCTCCCCCCCACACACACACACTTAGCCCAGCTCTCAGTGATTTCAGCTGTTAGTGGGGGAGCCTCACTGCTGGTGCACACTTGGCAGTCTCTTACAACACTGTCTCTATTAGTCTAATACCTAAGTATCAGTGATTTTCAGTTCTGTAACGTGTGAGACTCTCAATTGAATCTAAATTAGCTCTTTTATTATACCATGGAGAGAGAAAATGTCAAACGGTGTTTAGGACCCTTAAACAGCAACCAAACCACCAGGTATACATGCCTACATCCACACTCTCTCAACTCACTGGGCTTTGGAACCCATGTCCCCTTCCTAGCAAGTGCCTTTTAGTTGAGTCCTTCCATTGGGATATGCCAAGTATAGTTCTGCTGCACACCGTTCACACAAGAAGTATAACAACCCTTCAATACTCCTGCCCCAATAACAAGGAGACTGGGGATCCAACACCAGCCACAAGTGATCATTTGGGCAAGCAGTCATGCAGTCCCATCATGCTGAGCACCTAGGCAGGGTGGGTGTGTCCATGCAAACAAGATCGGCTTCTGAAATCTTTTTCCACAGCTAACCACTAGATGTCAGGGGAGAGCTCATCCAGACTCTGCTTACATCATTAATGCCTTCTAAAATGTTGGTCAAGGCAAAGCAAGTTGTTCTTTAGCACACCCAAAAGTGAGGTTGGGCTCCCTCATAGGCAACATCTGCACTTGGAGCTAGTGGTGTGAGTCCCCCCCACTTATGCTAGCGCTGATCAAGGTAGTGCACTAAAAATACAAGTGAAGCCATGGTAGCATATGCAGTGGTGAGCGGTAGCATGGGCTAAGCTGCCGCCTGGCCCCCATTGGTATGTACTCGGGGTAGCTAGCCCAGTGCCACTGCTTGCTGCTGCCCTTGCCACCATGACTATGCTTGTATTTTTAGCACACTAGCTCAGTAAGAGCTGCCATGAATATATCCACGCAAGCTGCGAATCACACTGCCAGCGCCCAGTGCAGATGTAGCCACAGTCCCTACTGGGACCTACTAAGTCAGTGCGTAGTTTTAACATGAGTTATCTTCACTAGGATCTTGCCTCCTATTAATGACAACATGAGGTACTAAGGACACACCGTTTATCCCAGTGAAAATGCACCCTAAAGTTTCCCTCATTAACTCACCCATGTAGCACATGCTAAAGTGCTACTCCCTTTTTCTTGCCTCAGGGTTTGGAAGATGTTAATTAGGGTAGATCTGCGTGGCAATCACAGGGTGTGATGGCAGCTGGTGCAGACAGCCCTGAGCTAGCTTTGCTCTAGCTAGCTGGAGTATCAGGAGCACTGAGTCTGGATAACATGAGCTACAACACTCCTTTAAATCCTAGTCTAAATATGCCCCCTGAGGGAGGGTGGACAAAATGTGCCGTGTTCCAATCTGTTGAGCATGAAACCCACTGGAAAAAAGCCCAACATTCCTGTACATTGAATCTCTCATCCTTTTCCTCCTCACCCAGCTCCATTCAGGCCAGCAGACACCAAAGGCATCGTTCGATTTGACCGCTATGGTGATGGAATCGGTCGTTACAATATCTTCAACTACCACAGAGCGGATGGGAGATATAGATACCAAAAGGTGGGCTACTGGGCAGAAGGGCTTACCCTGAACACCACCCTCATCCCCTGGGCGAAGACCTCTGTTCCCGTGTCCCAGTGCAGCGACCCCTGCAAGAAGAATGAAATGAAGAGCATGCAGCCAGGGGACATGTGTTGCTGGATATGTATCCCATGCCAGCCTTACGAATACCTGCTGGATGAATTCACCTGCATGGACTGTGGTCTAGGATACTGGCCCAATGATACCCTGAATGGCTGCTATGAGCTACCACAAGAGTACATCCGCTGGAAAGATGTCTGGGCCATTGGGCCAGTTACGATCTCTTGCTTGGGCTTCCTCTCCACCCTCTTTGTCTTTGGGGTCTTCATTAAGAACAATGACACTCCCATTGTGAAGGCCTCAGGCCGCGAACTCTGCTACATCCTCCTCACTGGGGTCCTGATGTGCTACAGCATGACTTTCATCTTCATTGCAAAGCCCTCCACCGAGGTCTGCACCCTGCGGCGCTTGGGGCTGGGAACCTCCTTTGCAGTCTGCTACTCTGCCCTCTTGACCAAGACCAACCGGATCGCTCGGATCTTCAGCGGGGTGAAGGAAGGGGTCCAGCGCCCACGCTTCATAAGCCCCACCTCACAGGTGGTCATCTGCATGGCCCTCATCTCCTGCCAGATGATCATCGTCATCATCTGGCTCATGGTGGAGACCCCCGGCACGGGGAAGGAGACGGAGCCTGACAAAAGGTACATTGTCACCCTCAAGTGCAACAACCGTGACTCCAGCATGCTCATTTCACTGACCTACAATGTGCTCTTGATCATCTTGTGTACAGTCTATGCCTTCAAGACCAGGAAATGCCCTGAAAACTTCAACGAGGCCAAGTTCATTGGATTCACCATGTACACCACGTGCATCATCTGGCTGGCCTTCCTGCCCATCTTCTATGTGACCTCCACCGACTACCGCGTAAGTGATCCCTGCTGAGCAGGGTAGGGAATGAGAGGCCAGCAGCGTGGCTAAGTCCACTGGATTCCAGGGTCCTGCTCCTTGTTAAGTGGAGCTGGAGGTAGAGGACTGAGGGTGGGTCCTGGACACTAGAAGACCAGCCTGCAGGTGGGAAAGCTGTCTGTGCAGATGAACAGAAGGGTAGTTGTCATAATTAAATTAGATCTGAGGACACTCTGGATTGTGGTTAAATGCAGCATAGCAGGTCACTAAGGGAAAGGATGAAGGGTGTGTGTCTCTGAGGGAGGCAAATGGGAGAACATGGCTGGTAGGCATAATGCAGGCAAGTTCTGTGCAAGTTCCTTGCTATTCCAGTCCCAGGCTTCCATACCTGCCTGCCAATACATCTCGATCCTGACCTGCTGCCTTCCTGCTATTTCAGCCTTGGGCCCCACACACAGCCCTGCCAATGCCCCTCCAGCCTGACCTGCCTCCCTCTGCTATTCCAGACCTGAGTCCACACACAACCTTGCCAATGCCCCTCCAGCCTGACCTGCCTCCCTCTGCTATTCCAGACCTGAGTCCACACACAACCTTGCCAATGCCCCTCCAGCCTGACCTGCCTCCCTCTGCTATTCCAGACCTGAGTCCACACACAACCTTGCCAATGCCCCTCCAGACTGCCCTGCCATCCCCCACCCCCGATGCCAATGGTGGTTGGCCTTGAGTGGGGCACAAAAAGGATTCAGGGACTAGACCAAGACCAACACATTGATTCACCCTTTATTCGTTCATCTAAATGCTCATTAACCAGAGTCATCAATCAAGGGGACTGATTTTTTCCAGCAGAAATTGCAAACCAGAAATCTAGAGGCCATAAAAGCATGTCTGGGGAGGCTGTGCCAGACTTAGGTACCAAGTGACACCCTGGGGAGCGAGGGACCCTCAATGTCTGAGAGACCCACATCTCCTAGCCCAATTCCCCCTCTCTGGCAGCTCTGCAAATTCAAAGGCTGAGCTAGTGGGGAAACACAGCGCTAGTCCTGCTCCTAGAATGGATTCTGCCTGAGAAGGGGAATGTGTCTAACTCCATTACTGATCACTGGGCTCATTGCTGTAGTCTCTGACCTACAGGAGCCCGTGGTCCTGGAAAATGCTGAGGAAATGTTTGCTCTTGTATTTCTGTAGACAACCAGCAGCACCTAGTGGCAGCTGACATGAACATTAGAGAGTTGTACAGTGCCTACCGGGGTCCTGTCTGCCACTAGCCACTCTTCCATAGAGAACAGTTTGAATGATGTACATTGGAGAAACACTTTATAATGCTGTTGGGTGGCAGGGTGGTCGAGTGTGCAGAGCAAGCGGCAGGGAGGCAGGAGACCTGGCTTCTGATCCAAGTCATTTCTCCTGTCTGTAGGAGGGGGGTAACGATACTGGCTTATCTTGATGGGGTGGGAGGTAGGCAGGGAAGCTTTTTGGTAGACAGCATAACCAGCAATGTCTATCGCTAAGGTTGTCTGACCCCTTCCGTTATAAGACCCTGCTTTCAGTTGCTTGCAACTTTGCTAAACTTTAGCTTGCCAGGGTGAAATTTCCCATGCTGGGCATCTGCCTCAGGCTGTTATTTTTTTTTTTTGGTAAAGTTGCAGCAAAAAGGCTTCAGATGTTTCCAAGAACGAGATGAGGAAAGATGGGCTGGCTTTGCTCTTGTTTAAAAAAAATCCCTCACGTGCATTTTGCTCAGAAGCATAGCGCCTCCATGCGCTGGTGCAGGGACTTGAAATGGGGCAGGGAAGTCACCCTGCTGTCAGGGCTGTGCTTTTTTTGCTACCTCTGTGAATATGTGCTCAAATTTGGCCAAGTTATGAGCCTCTGAACATTTCAGTTTCCATGTGCTCAGAGTCCATCTGCACTGAGCATGCTCCAGCCCAGGGCCTGAGCAGAGCAGGAATTGTTTTGCAATCACCCTCCCCCTCTGATACAGGGGCTGCTGGAGGGTCGGGAGCAGAACTGAGAGCAGGGAACCCCTCTCTCCTGTGGTCTCAGTGACACCAACCCACACTGGGCCCAGCAGTGAGGAGGAGAACTCAGACCACCTGGAATGCAGAGGGGTGTGACAAGTGGAGCCTGTGGGGAGAAGGGGTTGGTGGGGGGGAGGGGAAGCTGGGATGTGACACCAAGGAGAGGTGAGGGGGACCAGGACATGGAGCTGAGCAGGGGAAACTGGGATTGGGATGAAGAGTCAAGGGCGAGGCAGTCGGAAACTGAGGCTGGGATGTGGCGCTCTGGGGGTGTGATGGAGACAGTTACTCCATTAGCTCAAGAGTCTGAGGTCTGTGTAGTGAATCTAAAAGCTTCAGCCCTGCTGGTGATCCACCTGGGTGTCAATATGATTCCATAGGATGGGGAAAAAATTTCAGTTGGCTTTTTAAGAACACAAAAAGCTAAGTTAAAAGAACATTAAGGTTGCAAAGTCAAGCACTACCTCATTTGTTGCAGAAATTGGAAGGAGTGTAATGACTGAAATGGGACAGTAGGAAGAGAAAGGAAAGCTTTGTGGTTAAAGCAGGTGAATGGTGCCACGGAGCACTGGGATTCTACCCCTGCATCTGCCACAGATTTCCTGTGTGATGCTGGGCAAATCACTTAATCCAAACTCATCACATGTGATCACTAATACATTTTCTTGGTGTCTGACTTGAGACCCTAGGGTCTGATCTGCAGAATTGCTGAGCACTCACAGCTGCAACTGAAGCCAAGGGGAGCTCAGCTCTGAACAAATGAAATGCTAAATTCTCTGAAAAAGCAGGTCCCAGGCATCTCAAATTGGGCACCAAAAATGGGTGGGTACTTTTGACCTCAATCTGTCTCTGTGTCTCAGTTCTTCAGCTGTAAAATGGGGATAATGATATGCCGTCATCTCCCAGGGGTGCTGTGATGATAAATTCGGTAATATTTGGGCATCACTCAGATATTACAGTGATGAGACCCATAGAAAAGCCTGTGTGGAAATGAACAGTTCTGTCTCCAGAGCAGGGTTTGGATAGTGTGTGCAGTAACTAAGAGTTGGGCCACACATCGAGCAATGAGGATAAAACAAAACATTGCCTAACTGCTCATTAATTGAGCACCATCTGTCTTGTGCCCTCAATGAGGAAAAAATAGTATGTGAGCATGTAATTAGAGCCTATCGTAATGCGTACGGGGGTTGAACTAAGGTTGCCCAGGCAACCTCAATTTTGACATGTCCCAACTTTCGAGCGCTTGACTTTGCAGTTTTTCTGATGTAATATAATGCTAATTTCAGTGACATTTAGTGCAGGCAGCAGTAAAAACCCTCCCTCTGCAGCAAGTAGTCTTTAATCTGGCATGGGCTTAGCATATATGACATAACAATGAGAACAAAGGAGATGGGTTAAAACTGATGAACAGATGATGGGCTAAGGAAGATGGTCCTGAGATGACTTAGGGGCTGCTTCTGCTTGCCCTCGCACTGGCTTCTGTCGTGTGTAACCTCTCCAGAGCAGGGAGCGCCCTCCTTCCATGTTTGCAAAGCCCCAGGCGGGGAGGACTTTAAAGACTTGTCTTGGATTGTGGCACTTTGGGGAAGGGTCCATGTTTTTGTTGCATGTTTGTACACAATGGGGTCCTATGGCTGGGAGTCCTCAGCGCTACTGCAATACAGACCAATAATAACAATAATCGTTTTACATTGGTGTAACACTGTTGGCTTCATGTGTACACAAGTGAAACCAGGAAATCACAGGGGAAATCAGAATCGGTGAAATCAGAATCATGCCCTTAAAATCCAACTTGCTATTCCTGGAAATCCTGGCCTAAATTGCACTGATTATTCACCATGGCCCCTGGAATAGAATGAGATTCCTGCTTCTGGAATAACAGTTGATCTACGGTAGCCTTGTTCCCCTCTCCCCAGTATCTGTGGGTGACCTGAAAGGCCCTGCCCTAGCTCCTCTGCTCCCCTGAATATACTCTGAGTATGATGATTCCTGCTCTCCAGTTGATTTCAGCAGAGTAACTCTGGGGGAGAGGCAGACCCTCTGTTTTTACATTACGTTATCCCTGGTGTCAACTGGCACCTCTACAGCCATGTCGACCTGAGTGGAAATGGGATGTTTTCCAATCATGTCTGTGCCATTCAACCCCCCTGGCAGATACTTGGAGCTGGTTGTGCTGTAACTTTGGGGTTCTAGTGTTATGGAGGGACTCAGTTCTGCCCCTTCCTCCCCGAGAGCTCACCTTGAGTGGTTCCTGCTCTGCTGTTTGCACTGGGATAAAGCAATACTTGGGGCCAATCATGGGGCTGGAATCAGGCCCTTGGTGATTAGCGCTAACAAGATTGCCTAGGAATGTGTAAGGAGTAATCGCACAGCCCGGGCTTTCGGACCCTCACTTAGCTCCCCGCTAGCCAAAGGCTGCCAATGGTGCTCATGCCTGTGCTGCCTGACAGCCTTCTGGAGAGAGGTAGAGCTTTGGACTCAGCTGTTGGGAGCTGCTAAACTTCTCGGTATGGCCATGACTCTGCTGCTACTGGAGCCCTTGCAGGACTCCTCCTTAGTTTAGCATCAGTCCTGCAGAGATGAGGTGCCCAGGGCTGGAGCACCAGAGTTAGCTGCACCCCCCACCCCATTTTATGGAGAGTTGGCATGTCCCTGGAGAGCTTGCTACAATCAGGGCTCTCCTATAAGCTGGGTGTCTTCACTGTGGAAGGATTTGTCAGCACTGTCTGGTTTCTTGATATGGTATTACTGTAGCTTAGTTGATAGAGTACTGGCTTAGGACTCAGGAGACCTCGGTTCTAGTCCTGGCCCAGCTCCTGGCCTGCTGGGTGACCTTGGGCAAGTCATTTCCCTATCTATGCCTCAGTTTTGGGGGGAGGGATAGCTCAGTGGTTTGAGCATTGGCCTGCTAAATCCAGGGTTGTGAGTTCAGTCCTTGAGGGGGCATTTAGGGATCTGGGGTAAAAATCTGTCTGGGGATTGGTCCTGCTCTGAGCAGGGGGTTGGACTAGATGACCTCCTGAGGTCCCTTCCAACCCTGATATTCTATGATTCTTGTCTATGCCCTTAGAGAATCATATAGGCAAAACTCCCACTGCAGGTTGCATGAAGCATGTGAGATTGGGCCTGTAGTTTGGGAGGAACCTCTGCTATGCAGAAGACTCTGACATGTGGGAGCAGGAGGGGAACTCTTTGTACTCGGAGGAGCAGCTGAGATTCAAATGCTGCAAGGGGTGCCGGCTTCGGACTGCCCCACCTGGAGAGCTTGAAGCTGTTCTGCTGAACACCAGAGAGGATGATAAGCAAGAGCCCCTAGTTGAGTTTGGAACAGTTACTCACAGGCTTCGGGCTAGTGCGGAAATGAGTGATAGGTGGAAGCGAATGTTGCAAAAGGCGAGGAGAGTATGGGAGCTCAGGAGGCAGCGTCCTTGTGTGCACTGGGGCATATGACAAAGCCCCAGGCACATTTTCAAAATGAGAAACTGACTGGACTCAGCTACAGTCTCTGACAGGGGAAAGAAATCTTTAGACAGTGGCCTGCTCAACCTCCACCCACGCAGAACTTAGGGGCTGCAACTATCAGAGGCTAGTGCCCAGAGGACAGGATACCATGGAAAGTTCAGGAAACCTGAGGTCCCTTCTTAGATCATGTGGAGCTAAATCCTTAGCTGGGGCTCGATCCAGCAAAGTGCTGAGCTGTCTGGTCCATCAAGGTGCTCAACACACGCTTAATAACAGTAATAATATCGTCATCCTGGGGAAGGCAGTGGGGCTAGTCTTGTGCTTAAGGGCTTTGGAGGATCAACAGCTTTGCGTGGCTTTAAGCACTAACCAAATTTGGTAGATTCATCTGAGCTCCACATTGAGTTTTTGGAGCTGAAATTCAAGGTGAAACCAAAGGGTGTGTGTGTGGTGTGTGTGTGTGTGTGTGTGTACACACGCACACCACCCTCTTCTACCCAGTTCAATAGATCGCGACCAATGGAGTCGTCTGTATGAAACTTTGCAAACCAAAATGGCTGCATCCCCCCAGCTCTGCTGTACTGTGGGAGTATCTGTAAAAGGCTGGAGTTTGCATCTGTTTAGGATATAGACAAGAGGCTGTGTGTGGAAGTTTAGATCTGTCTCTCAGATCAGGCAAGAGGTTCAGTGAGATCAGGGGATGGAGGATTTGGGTTTGTCCCTGTACAGAGATAATAGGGGCTAACCACAAAGCTGGAGCTGGATCCAAACTCCTGCAGAGTTCAGCATCAGGGCTTTGGTTCTGCCCCATTTCTGCTGGAGTGGGGATAAAATAGAAACTGTTCAAAGGAAGCTGGTGGGTGGATGTCCCCTCTGAGCCTATGCTAGCTGTGCAGTGGTTTGCAGGAGGTGTAGCCAGGTACAGTGTCTTAGGGCAGGTCAGACGCCAGGTGTGGCCTTTACTCAGTGGTGGGTTGAATCTATCTATCTATCTGTCTATATACATGTGTGTGTGTGTTTCACTCTGTCTCTCTGGGTTGATGTCTCCCCTCTGCTCCCTGCAGGTGCAGACCACCACCATGTGCATCTCCGTCAGCCTTAGCGGCACCGTGGTCCTCGGCTGCCTGTTCACCCCCAAACTCCACATCATCCTCTTCCAGCCCCAGAAAAACGTCGCCAGCCACCGCGTGGCCACCAACCGGTTCAGCGTGACTGCAGCAGGCTCCAGCCACTCGCACGGTGAGTGGCTAGTGGCCCCACAGCGCTGCTTCCTGGGCATGGAGCATGGCGTTTGTCCTCCTGGGATAGGAGTCCTGTTGCCAGAGGGCTGAATGCCATGGGGGATGGGAGCATGGCCAGGTGGCCCTATGCACCAACTCCCTTTTGAGAGCTTTGCAATTCAAATGTCAATGGCCAGTAAAATTGAAAATGTTACAAGCCATTGAGTCCCCCTGCCCCGCTCTGTAATGTCATATGCTTTGTGTGGCTGCTAATGCTGACATCTCCTGCATGTTTGAGGACATGCATGCCTCCGTGACGTGTAATCGCCACTGCCACCTCCCTGGGGGGGGGCAGGGAATCTTTGCAGGGCAGGAGGGGACGGTCACTGGGAGGCAGGGGCAGGCACCCACAGTTTGTGGGCAGGGTGAGAGGGGGACATGCCCTGGAGAGAGGAAGGGACAGCCCTGGGGCATGGGATCAGCAGCAGATCGTGGCCTCAGCCCTGTGGCTGCACATGGGGCTACAGCGCCCACTCCAGGGTGATCTCTCCAGGCCATGGGGAAGGCACCAGGGTGCGGCAGGCGGCGATGGTGGGTCTGGGACCCAGGTCCAGCTGCTGTTCCATGATGCCTCTATGTGTTCTTCCCCCGCCAGGGTCGGCCTCTCAGTCCGTCCCCACAGTGTGTAACGGCCGTGAAGTTGTGGACTCCACGACCTCATCCTTATGAAATGCCCTGTGGTTCCCATGGGCAAGGGCATGGTCCCCAGTGCAGACCCTGCACGAAGGCGCAGGCCTTTTTCGTTCCCATTGGGCCTTTTGTTTCTCAAAGCTGTGCTCCCAGCCTGCTCGCTGATGCCGTCTCACTCGCTGGGCCGGCGTTCCCCAAGGAGAGGAGCCGTCGTGTGAGAACTGGGTGCCACCTTCCGCTGCCCTGCTCCCCCAGCGCCGGCTCAGAGAGACACAAACCTGCTGGGGCGGTCGTGATTGTACTGAATGGACCTGCTGGGGCATGGAAGAACCATGCCCTCTCCCTGGGGAGCCAGCTCTGAGCCAGACGGATCTCGTGGCAGATCCACCCTGTGTTACCTCTTGCTGGCCAGATTACCAGAGAGAGCAAAACCTGAGCATCTGTACCTCCCCACTTCTCTCTGCACTGGAATAGGGTCAGGGGAAAGTCCACAGATTCCCACTGGCTGCTCCAATCTCCCCCTTCCCTTCCCTCCCCAAAGGAAGCAGGACCCTCCCCCCCCCCAAAAAAGAGCAAATACCAATGGGTCAAAGGTGCTATGGCTTGAAGAGAACAGACAGGCCCTTCTCCAAGACCACGCTGCCCCGCAGCATTGGGAAGGAATTCAGACTGAACAAGCCAGGGGCTCAGGGCTGCTGCTGATTTTGCAGGAAGATCCCTGGTTGGAATGTGAGCCCCCTACCCCCTCTGAGCTGTGAGAGACTCACTTTGAAATGGACAAACAGGTGCTTCCACATCAGAGATTTCTGACCCCAGGAACCTGGGTTGTACACATTACCTGACTTGGCTAGAGGGACCCAACCGGGGGTTGCCGCATGTGCGGCCCTGTAGGGTTTTGTTTAGCAAGGGCAGTCGGGGACGGGCACAGTGGCTAGTCAGGAAGCAGGGAGAGGGTGAGGGGCCCACTGGGAGCTGGGGCGAGGCATGGCACAGGAGGGCTGCCCTGTCCGCACCTGGTGTGGGACACTGACAGAGGAGGGTAGCAGGGGACTGAAACAACTCCTACAAGTGGAGAAATGATGACGTATGAGAACGGAGGGAGAGACCTGAAAATGTGGGACCAGCCAGACGCAGAAAGCGAGTGAGGATCTGGCAGCCTGCAGTCCTGCGGACTGACTTCAGGGGGAGCTGTGTGTCCTGTCCCCGGAGACTGGGCCTCTAGGGTGAACGAGTCCCACAACACAGAGAGCAGAGAGGAACAAACCCCCAACACATGCTTCAGGCCCGCTACCCGGGGGGGGGGAGGTGGGGGCACAGCTGCTGCTTGGGGGGCAAGGGTGAGGGGGCATGGCCTGCTGCTCCCCACTAGCATAGGGGTTTGAATTTGTGGTGTGCTGGAGTCATTGACCATGCAGCCTGGTATCCAAAGGTGCTCCCCGCTCTTTGCCTCTACAGGCAGCAGGAAAAGGACATTCCCACTGCATTAGGCTGCCCAAGGGGCCGTTCCCCCAGAATGCCCCCATGCCCTTCATGAACAACGGGACGGGGAGGGGTTGGTCTGATTCCATGGAGGGCCAGGGTGCCTCAGACCACCCCCATTCCTGACCCCGCCAGGAGCTGCCTGACCGTGACATCACCCAGCAACCAAAGTGGCCCGAGCGCTGGTGCGGCAGCAAAAGCAGCAATAAACCATCCGGCTCTGTGCTTTACAGCTGCCAAACACTCTGGCGGCAAAGCTGCTCCCCTGCTTCGCTGCAGTTTTCTTGGCACCTTCATCCACCGAGAGCCAGCAGGTGAGTGCAAAAGGTACCACTCTTGTCCAGAGCTGCTCGGAGCTTTTCAAACAGCGTCATTTTGGTCCCAAAATTGTGTGATGCATAAATCAGCCTGAGAGACCCTTTTTTTTTTTTTTAACAATGCTTTTCCCCCCCAAAATTCAAAATCTCAGGTCTCAATATGCCTGTTTTTGCTGGAGGACAACTAGTGACATTCCCAGAGCCTGGAAGAGGGAAAAGCATGTTCAGTGAGGCTCTTTAAAACTCTTGGTTATATTTATTGTAAGTCCCCACTTAATTCTAACACCTGACACACCCTTGGGAGACAAACACTCTTCGTGAACGGTTCAGCATGCCCTGGTCTTTCAATTGAGGAATGAGAAAGCTGCCATTCAGGTTCTCCAGTCGTCCAAGGAGTTCTCCTCCTGATTACTCATCATTAATATCCCACTCGTGCCTGTCAGAAGACAGGACACTGGGCTAGATGGACCATTGGTCTGACCCAGTGTGGCCATTCTTATATAGCTATTCCTGAGATTTGTAAGTGGAAAAAACAAGCCGAGACAAATCCTTCCAGGTCTTCTTTATGTGTCATCAAGAATCAAAACCAAAAAATTAGAGCCCAGTGCGGATACAAAATTTGTATCCACATCTGAGCCACGATCTGCAAAAATGGTCTGTGGGTATCCATGGATATGCAGGACTCTACAAAAAATCCCCCAGTTTTAACCTTTAAAGCAGGGGTGGCCAATCTGTGGCTCCGGAGCCACATGCGGCTCTTCAGAAATTAATATGCAGCTCCTTGTATAGCACCAACTCCAGGGCTGGAGCTACAGGCGCCAACTTTCCAATGTGCCAGGGGGTGCTCACTGTTCAACCCCTGGCTCTGCCCCAGGCCCTGCCCCCACTCCACCCCTTCCCAGCCTCTCCCCTGAGCCTGCCATGTCCTCACTCCTCACCCCCCCCCCGCCCCACCCCAAACCTCCTGCATGCCACGAAACAGCTGATCGGGAGGTGCTGCGGGGAGGGAGGGGAAGGCACTGATTGGCAGGGCTGCCAGTGGGTGGGAGGTGCAGGGAGTGGGGAGGTGGGGAGCTGCTAACATATGACTCTTTGGCAATGTAAATTCTGGCTCCTTCTCAGGCTCAGGTTGGTCACCCCTGCTTTAAAGGAATACACTAATGTACATTTCACACTGAATTATGTTAACCATTATGGTTACAAGTGACTCCTAGGATCAGGGTAAAGAATCAAAAATTGGTGTCTGTTTTTTCAGTATGTTTCCTTTTTACACTTGACAGCACTTTGTGTAGAGTTCCCCTCCCTTCCCACCCCATACGTATAGTCATTTTCCTGTTGTTTGTGTGGGTCTTTCTCACCGCTCCAGGGAGAGACCTTTAGACAGAGGAAAATGGGATTTCAAAAGTCCCCAATGTTTGTGGAGGGACATGGGTAAATTACTTGTAACTATTTGTTTTGTTAATCAATTAGATTTCAAGTTGATGGGGTCCCTGGCGTGATGAGGTGAGTACCTGCCCTCTTGCCCATTGGCTTGGATGGCTGAAATAGGAAATGCAAGGCAGCACTCAGAGGAGAGGGACAGGGTGAAGTTATTGGCACAACAATTTGGATCCTCACAGCAATGCATCTCCTGCCTTTCACGTGCATTCAGATGCTGAGATGCTCTTCCTGTGTCTCAAAGGACATCATTAGCCAGCACTTCCTGTTAGGAATTATCAGTATCAAGGCCCTGGTGGGCTGGGTAGTGCTAAAGAGGTTGCATCAGTGTTTTTCAACTGACTGATGGAAAAATCCATGTTTACTGTAGAACTATAGAAGTATTTAAACCAGGTGAGTTATTAGTTATTTAAGCAAACGTGCTGCTGATCTCTCAAGAGTTTTCTGTGGGTCGCATCTTTTTTCACAGTAGCCCCATGATGTCGGTGCTAAATGCTAGAATTCCAGTGTTCGTAGCTGTGCCCAGCCCTCTGCCGTGACACTGGTGCCAATGTCCTGTCCTTCTGCCAATGCCCCCTTCCCACCATACTATCCACTGCTCCAGCAGGACGCCTGTTAGCACCACCGCTCTTCCTGACTGCTGGACAGGCACAAGCAATCAGCCCTAAAATCAGCATCCTGCTCCGCTGCTTCTAGTCACTAATCTCCCCTCACCCCGGGGACAGCTGTACCTGTGGCCGCTGGCACTCAATGCAAGGGAGATCCTGAAAGCCAAATGACAGGTTAGGCTGGGCTGGGCAATATAACTCTGTATCTCGTGGTGTTTTTTAATTTTTATAAACTATTTATTGGGAGGAGCCTTTTGGCTGGAGAGAAAATTATAATAATTAGCTGGCTGCTAACAAAAATGTGCGTGTTCTTTGGCCCTTGACTAGGATTATTATCATTGTGACACATGTATTACAAGCCAAGCGAGTTTTTAAGCGTAGATCTTTTTGTGACCAAGTTTGTGGTTTTTGTAATTTATGTAAATAAAGTGCATTTTTTTTAACGGACCCCCATTGGTCCCATGTGGGCCTCTCACTGGAATAGAAAGCAAGAGCTGGTGTCTGTGTCTTCTTGGCAGAACTGCAGGGCTCCAGGGACTGATTATGGAGTGGTAGGGTTGTGTGAGTCAGGCAATGTGGGGTCAGTGCCCTGCTGTGCCCCAGATTGTGTGACACACCATGGGCAAGTCATGTTATCACTTTGTGCCTCAGTTCTTCTGTCAGGGGGGGATCTGACACCCTTTGCCCTGTGGACTCTTCAGTGTATGGGCTGCCCAACAGGGCTCCCAGCCCAGCTGCCACCTCTCTGTCTCACCATACTACAAACAATAATGCAAAGTGTTGCAGCACCAGGTCAGGTCACTCCTCTGTGCACTGAGGTGCTAGAAGGGGGCAGCTTAGGGGAGCCAGGCAGGAGTCCCTGGGCCTTCACTTTAAAAACCAAGGCAGCACCAAGCTTTTTCCTTGGGGTGAGAAAACAATGCAGTTGCGAAAGTAGAAAAGCAAAGGTGGCCCACTGAATAGATCTCTGGACTGGTTCTTGGGAGATCTGGGTTCTAGTCCCAGCTCTGGCCTGCTGGGTGGTCTTGAGCCTCAGTTTCCCCAGCTGGGAAATGAAGATGATGCTACTGAGCTGTGTAAAGGGTGAAGTAGTAGTATCCTGCAGCAGGGCAGGGGCTAATTATGAACTCTTCCCCTCACTTCCCTCCACCAGTGCAGAGGGGGGTATGAGGCTGGTAAAGGGGATGGCAGCATATTAAGTGTTTGGGCAGCTCACTTGCCAGTAGCAAGGGCCAGCTGTGCTTGTGGGAAGCTTCAGCCCCCTGGGAGGCCATAGCAGCCTGCATGGGAGGTGCACACCCCCCCCTGCCTCCCAGCTCCTATCAGCCATGGGCTAGACACATGCAAAGCCAGCCACTTGCACTATGAGGCCCTTCCTGCTGACACAGCCCAATGCCTTAGCCAAGAATTATAGCCTATCTGGCCCTTTAAGGGGTGGGCCTAGCACCCCTCCTGAGCTGGCAAATTAATTATAATTAGTGACCGAAGCAGTTGAAGAGTCAGGCAAGAGAGACTCCCTCCAGAGCCAGCCCTCCTTGGCTGGGGGAAGAGAGTGAGGAGTGCTAGGGGCTCCTGTTCCAGCAATAGAGCAAGGAGCTGGGAGAAGTCTGTGAGCCAGAGGCGAGGCTGTTTTACTTCAGACTCCTGGGCAAGCCCCTGGGGCTGGAAGGGACCCAGGGAAGCAGCAGCATGGCTAAAAGGAACAGCACTAGCTCTTAACACAGGGACCTTGGGCAGCACCCCAGGGCAGAGGGTGGGGAGAGGTTCCTGGGCCAGGAGGAGGTGTAACTGCCTCAGCACCAGCCTGGCAGGATTGCAGGCTGGGATGTTGGGACTGCTATATGTACTTCTGTCACCCTATCTGGGTGTTGGCACAGATGGGGCTGAGGTGGGGGGCTGCAGTAGCAGAATCAGGCCATCCCAAGGTCGCAGTACTGCTCAGCAGAGGGCACTGGGGCAGAGCTCTGCCCTACCCTGGCCTGGCACCAGGAGGTGCAACCGTGACAAGTGCCACTGCTTCCACCAGGGCTCTGCTTATCCCTAGCAGAGGGGCACCTGTGCCCTTCCAGGCTGGAGGCCAAAGCCCTTGTCTCACCAAGTTTGATTCACTCTTGTTAAAGGCAGCTTTCAGGTCCCGGCTTGCAATCCTCAGCAGTGAGATGCAACCCACCCCCCAGTCAACACTGCCCTGGCAGCAGGGGCAGGCTGCTGAGCCCATACTCATGCTAAAAGCAGTAACTTTTCCAAGCCAACCCCAGGGGAGGCCAGAGCTAGCTAGCTTGCTCCCCTGCTGGGGATGGAGAGGAAGGGGAGAGGGGTGGACGCCACCCACAGTACATCTGCCAGTAGCCCCTTCCTCCCCTTCACCAGGGCCCTGGCTCATGGCTGCAACCCAGGATGCATGGAGCCCTTTCAGGGCTGGGCTGAGTCCTCACAGCAGAGACTACAGTGGTAGCTCAAGGAAATCACTTCCCTCCCCCTCCTTAGGTTTTCCTTCCCTAAACAGATGCTAATATCTGCTTGTGGCCTATGGCTGCAAGGATGGAGTGAACTGAGCTACTGAACACTTCCATTTGTTCCCTGAGGGCTAGCACTCCATTAGGCTCTGTATATCTGCCTGTTAACAAACTGGAGACAGCTAACTCTCTCTCTAATGAGCTTTCCTCATGGCCCCACTATGCCAGGCACACAGCTGTCTGCCACGTGTGCAGCAGCCAAGGGCTGGGAGTAGCAAAGATGGCACAGGGCTAGCTCCACTGCCAAGTTGAAGCCACTGTTTGGCAAAGGCAGGTAAGACCTCAGGCCAAGGTTGTGCCTGACCTGTAGCAGGGCAAATGCTAGGACCTCAGTTAGTCTCTACCAGACGTTGTGCTCAGTGATCCTCTGGCCCAGGTTGTGGGGAGGGACACTAGGGCTTCTTTTACTCTTAGCACTGGTGTTCATTCCCCCAGTGCAGTATGCAGGGAGGCCCAGCTCAGGTACAGTACCACGCCAGGCAGAGTCAATGCAGTTGGGCAGACACAGCTGTTGTAAGAGCTGATGCACAGGAACAGAGCTGGCATAGGTGGCTGAGCTGAACTTATCCCTGAAGGTCCAGGAGCAGAACTGTTGCAATAAATAAATAATAAAAAAACACAACCCAAGCTAGGGCAGCCATCAGCTCTCAGATCATGAGAATAGCAGCCGAAAGCCCATGTAAGAGCAGCTATGCAGGCAGTCACAGCTTTTAGGAAGTAGCCTGCAAGGCTTTAAGGAACAGCTCTGTTTAAAAGAACAAAACACAGTGTCACAGCTGAGATTAAAATCTTAACTACAGGAGGTGGTTTTTAATGGTCCTGCTTTCCTAGCTTAGCACCAAACAGCCTAGCCCACACTGCAAGCTCGAGTTTGATCAAAATGCAGTTTAGAGCTGCTCTTCTTGAAGACAGATCCCAGGTGGAAACAGACATGACAGCACTTAATTCAGTCTCCAAGGCTGCAGCTGCTGTTAGCACAGATACATTTCAAAATGCCTCAAGTTTCGAGACAAAACGCGTGACACTTGAACTTTAGTACATTAGCAGCCATGAACGGTAGCTTCCAAACCTCCCTTGATGTTCCCTACAACGGAGATCTGCATCATCAGTCCCAAGCTCTGCAGCACCGAGACTGAGGGAGAGCAAAACAAAAACAAACCCACCGCCAGATTGATCAGAATGAGGGAGGGCTCATGCTGTGATTGCACCTGACGTAGATGCATAAGAGGCCTGTCTCCTTGTTTGAATAAAGGCAGTAGAGTCTCTCCAGATCTGCTGCACAACCCTTCCCGCCCACCCCAGAAGGGAGGTCTGGATTCTTGTGGTGGAATCTACAGGGCTGTGATTACTCAGGACTTTCGGTGTGGGCAGCGCGCACACACACACACACGCTAAGCGAGAACTTAGCCTGGGGGTAACTTACAGTTAGCAGCACAACTGCTTGTTACTCAGCTTTCCCCACAGAAGTTTGCCCCATCGTTGAGGCTAAGCACAAAAGGGAAGAGAAAATGCTGGGACCTGCCACAAGCTCCAACATCTGTAGAGAAAGGGAATTCTTCATGGGATCTCAGCAGGCAGAGATAGGGCTGCCCCTTGCAACGTGCCCTTGAAGGTCATGGGCCATTTGAGTGAGTGGCTCTGACCTGTTCTTGGGAAGGGAGGGAGTCAGACTGGGGCTGCCATGGCTTAGTCTGCATGTCCATCCCCCCCCACGAAAAAGGCCAGGTCTCAGCTGCTCACCTTTGGAGCAGGTTCTGCCGCTGGCCTTGGGGGCAGGAGTAAGTTTGTCGCGGGGGCCCGGGCGTCTCATTTCATATGCTGCACCTCCCTTTCCTCTTGTGCCCAGCCTGCAACCGGCCCGAGAGGACGTCCTTGCCTCCGGTTTCGCATGTGACAAAGCATCCGAGCCGTAGACAGGCTGACACTGACAGCAGGGTTTTACACAGGGGGGTTGCTTTTAATGCAAAGTTTTAACTCAAGAGTCTCACAAAGCTCTAGGAGCAACACGACTGTATGCAAGAGGGGAGCAGGGTTAGGAGCCGTCAGCTGGCTGTGCGCTGCCAGCTGTCGTCCTCTGCAGCGGGATGATGCAGATGCTGTTCTTGGCTTCTTTGATTCGCCACCAGCGGCCCAACCTGAACACGAGATAGAGACCCTGAGCTTTTGTTTCCCCCACTCCCCAGCAAGAAAGCCACCTGGTGCCAAGCTGAGCTCCCTCCTCAGAGGGTCCCAGTGCTGGCACCCAGTGCTTCACACTGCTCTAGCACCTCCCAGGGGCTCTTGCAGTGCTTTGCAGAGATCCAGCACCTGAAATGCGCCATCTCTGGTCTACAGAAGGGGAAGATGTGTCTCCATTTCCCCCAGGAGAAAGCAAGTCACTAGTAAGGCTGCCCTGGAGCAATGGCAGGAGGCGTTTCATACCAGTGCCAGCCGGGCTTTTAAGAGGGTTAGTGCCATTTTCTGCCCTCCCCTCCTAGACAGCCCACTCCTCGTATGCTTCACCCCGAAAGCTGCCCCTTCCCAGCATTTAACAGACCCTTCTTCCCAGCTGAAGAAGAGTCTAATGCCAAATGTTGGATTTTTCTAAGTCCCCAGCACAGGCTCTGCCCGATCGCCAGCTCCTTCAGAATGCACACTGCAGAGAGACTACCACAAGGGCTGGGAGAGGGTCTGGGATTAGCGGCTGGGGCCTTGGGCCAGAGCTCCTGGGACCCCATGTAGCTTGTAGCTAGCATCTAGGCCAGTACCTGTGTTCCTGTCCGACCCCAACAACCAGGAAATCCCCAGCACTGGAGAACTTCAAGCTGTTGACAAAGCCAATCTGAGAGAGAGGAAAAGGCATGAGACCAGTACCGCAGGCTTGGGAGCTATTAGTCTGCCAGGACAGGGCTCCCATTAGGGCAGTGCAACTTCGATCAGGCCGAGAAGGGATTTAATCTCAGCAATTCATTGGCTTCACACACCAGATGGGAGGGAACCCCTCTGGGCTTATTCTGGACCCCAGCAAAACCTGCACTCCCTCACCCCAGCCTGCACAGCAGACTCGTTTGGGGAAGGGGAACCCAGCTGGACAGAAGATGGAAATTCCCATCTCTCCTCAGCCCCAAGCATCCGCTCCCATGAGCCTCGCCTGCCAACGGGGAGCCTTCATGCCCACGCCCCTTTCTTACCAGAGGGATGTCGAAGAGCGGCTCCAGCCTTCGGAATCCCTCGCCGCACTTCCACAGCCGCACGCTGGCGCTGTGCGAGCCTGCGGTCACAGAGCAGAATGTGAGGGCCTTGGGCGGCCAAGCCCTGCGCCTCCCCTGGGCCCCGCCATGCTCTGCACCGATCCAAGCTAGCGTGGTCTCCCTCAGCCCATGGCCCTGCCACCACACCAAGCCCTGCTGGCATCCACGACCGGCACCCCACACAGCCCAGCTCCCCCTCCCTGCCACCCCACCAACACAATGGGGACCACAGGAAGCTGAAGCTGCTGGCTGGGCAATTGGAGCATCAAGCTGGCCTATTCCAGGGGAAAACACCATCCTGCCTGGGGTTAGGCGGCGGTGGATCCTCATCACTCTGGGGGAGCAAGTCAGAACCAGAGAGGAGAGCGACGCAGCGATCTCCTGCCAGTGACACACGGGACAGACTGGTCACAAGGCTGTGGCTCTCTGGAGAGGCCCAGCCAATGTCCCCAGAACCCCAAGTGCAGTTACCTCTTGCTCCGAGCTCACCAGTCATTTATTGTATGTGACATGGATCCAGGTTCAAACCAAACCCTCCCTCCTCCCCCCAGCCTGCCCCAAACCACTCCCTTCCCATCCAAGCAGGACTTCCCCACTCCTCAGCTAGTTTCTAAGCCAGGGTGGCAAGCCTGAGAGTGCCAGGGGTAGGAGTTGTAGGAGTGGCAGGGACTGGGCTAGTTGAGAGCAGCATAGGGCCAGTTGTGGGTAAATTCCCCGGGGCTGCCAGGAAAGCAGAGCCAAGTTCCCAGAAGGAGAGAGAAGTTAGGAGCCTGAGGAATGACCCGTCCAGGGCGCTTTCCATCTGAGCCCCTTGGAGCACTTCAAACAGTAACCCGGCCCCGCCCACGAGACAGGCATTGTCCCAGCTGTACAGAGTGCTGGCCCAAGCTGCAGGGAGGAAGCCCAAAGCCAGAGCCAGGGAGGAAGCCAAGATCACCCAGCTGCCAGGGGCCTGCAAAGTACTGCATCCTTCCTCCCCGCCCCAGTCCCAAAGCAACAGCAAAAGCGAGGGTCTCACAGCGCGAGGCACCTGTGGCTACAACGTCACTGTTCAGCAGGGTGGCCACCGAGGAGATCCAGTACGGCTGCTCCAGGCCCTGGGCGCCGTGGTTACTGTGCGCTTGCCTCACCGTCGTGAGCGGCTTCTTCTTTGAAAGGCCCCAAAGGGCGACCGACCTGTTGTGAGACGTGGAGCGGATGAGGCTACGTGCCAGAGCCCAGGCCTGCAGCACCCCCAGCATGTTTCCAGCAGGGTTACTCACCCGTCGTCCGCGCCGGACACCATGTGCTCCTCGTTGATCAGCTGGACGCAGTCGATGGAGCCCCTAAGATGGGCAGAGGGAAGGAGAATGATTTGTGGCTGTGGGCCCCCTGGGAAGTTACCCTGCAGGGTGCCAGAGCACCAGAGGCAAGGGTAACCCCAGAACTTGAGCTGAGCGCAGACCGGGCTTCCAACACCACCCCTCAAAGGAGACTGTGCTGGTGGCACTCAGCATGATTCAGAACAGGCCTCCCTGGCAGCCCCTCACTGCAACAGGCAGCCCCCTAGAGGTGGAGCATTCTCTAGGTCACCTCCCAGAAGGGCACATTTCCCCTTTTGGCTGCTCCCCCACTGGGATCTGGCACGAACGCTCTGGACGAGTCCTACTGCCGGCTGAGCTGCTTGCCCTGTGGTTCAGCCTGGCTGGCCTAGTTCCACGCTGCACCACTGATATGGGAGCTTGGCTTGAGCTGCTTCCAGGAGCTGCTGCCGGGAGGAGCGGTCCCATGCACGGTGCAGTGCTGTGGATGGCCAACAGCCAGCCTCCCCCACCCAGCATGTCTGCATCACTCCTGCAGGCATTAGGCAAGGTAGCACGTGCCACCACCAGCTCAACAGGTGTGGCCGATAACCATGCACGAGGCAGGTGCTGGGAGGCATCTGACAAGACACTGGGCTGCAGAGCGGAGGAGGGGAGGTAGAACAGACCAGGGCAGTTGCTGGCAACCACCAGACGGGTATTATGCTTTGGCAGAGGAGCTGCCATGGAAGGTGAAGTGAGTTAAGCGGAGCAGATGCCCCACAGCCCTCACCACCCTCTGCAGGGGCTGCTGCCCACACCTACTGGTGCCCGTAGAACACAAGCTGAGACTCCTCAGGGATCTTCCAGACCCGGACGGTGCCGTCTCGCCCGCCTGACGTGACACAGCACTCCCGGCTCAGGCTGTCCAGCCCCGTGATCGCATCCTGGTGCCCAAACCTGGAGTTGGGAGCAAACCGAGCAGAAGATGAGATCCAGTCTCAGTAACCCAGGGAGCCCAGCCTGACACCTTCTACATCCCTTCCCACACAGGTTCTGCATTCTCAGCCTCGATGGTCATCTCCCACCACTGCATAGCCGACGCTGATCACTGGTTCTCCTGGATGGGGGGGCTTGTGGCTACAGCACACCAGGCCTCCATCCCCACAGAATACTTGGCCTCTCACCAGACACAGCTGGTATCTATCTCAGATAACCACGCTTGGCATGAATGACTCAGGCCCTCAGGAGATTTCTGAGCTGCGGCCACATCACAGCTACTGATGCAGTAGGAGGGGTCCCGATCAGGTGAGCCTGACCATGGGTGCCACCAAACTGAATGGGCCGCTTGTTAGGGCAGGGCAGCCTTGAGCAGTGACCATAGGACAGCTCGGGGGCCAAATGCATTGCTGGGCCAAGTCTGCTGGAGCCCCCTTCCCAGGAATCCCAGTCTTCCATCTCCAGGGTCAACCCCAAAAGCCACATAATCCTCCCAGCTCAGCCGCCCTGGCTCTCCTGCCCCAGGGCACAGAGAACTGGGTCCTCACAGAGTTTCCACGTAGGCGTTCTCAGCCACGTTCCAGACTTTGACAGAGCGATCGTGCGAGGCGCTGTACAGCTGGTGAGTGCCCTTCTGGAACGACAAGCCCTGCGTGGGGGGAGAGACAGGTGCTAAATACAGAAGAGTGGCTTTAATGCCGATCCAGAACTGCATTCTCCAAGGTGACTACCCTAAGGAAAGGCTGCCCTGGAAGCAGCCAAATTTCCCACCCATCCCGAGCTCAGCACCTCAGAGGAAAGGCACTCAAAGGGGGAAGAGGATTCCCATGGAGAAAGGGCTCCCTGACTTTTAGTCAGAGCCTAGATATGTTTCCCAAGTCAGCGTGGAAGGATCGGGTGCTCAAAGCCGCCTTGTTGTGTCTGAGCTACACGGCCCCAGCACTCCAGCCACTCACCGTCACAGCGTCTCGATGGCCAGTGAATTTATACAGGTGCTTGCATGTGATAGCCTCCCAGATCATGATCAGTTTGTTTCTGTCTCCTGTGGCCTGGCAGGGAGAGAGGACACTCTCACTAGCAGCCCCTAATTAGGTCTATGTCATCACAGCGGGCTGTGTGGCTGCACTATTATGTTCTGCTGCCATTTCAGAGGCCCACAGGGAGAGGTCTCAGCCAGATGGGAGGTGGGATTCCCCACTAGCCACCCCTTGGTTTTGTTCCCAGCTCACTGTCTTCCCCTGGAGAGCATACAGAGCAAACAGCCTTTGCCCTTCCTCCTCCTCCTCTCGGGATGGTCCCATCAGCACCACAGCCAACGCTGGAGCCCAAGGCTGGTGAGATCCAGCTGTGCAGCCGGCCAGAGAGGCAGCGGTGATACTGTGTGTGCTGCCGGTGACTGGTCCCAATCATGGCACAGCAGCCATCAGCATTTCGCCACTGGGGCGGAGATGGACCCTGCTTCTATCAGAGCAAGCTCCCCCAACAAGGTCTCACCAGACGAGCCGTGTACCATGCACTCACAGCTGATGTGCTGTTTGCAGCTCCTGTATCCTCTCTGGAGGGTGGCAGCGCCCAGCTCTGCCTGCCAGAGCAGCCCACCCAGCTCCGAGGGGGGCCCAGGGACGGTGAGCAGGCAGCAGGGTGGGGGATCAAAGGGGGTCCAGCATTTGCAATGAAGCAGAAAGCGGACAGCGTGTGCCAAGAACTCAACGACAAGAGCCTCCTGTCACTGCATGACTAGACAACAAGGGTGAGCCAACCAGCAGGGGAGAGGGCAAAGCCTGGCCGTTCCTCCTTACCAGGTATTTGCCATCTGACGAGATGGCCATGGAGAGAACATGCGCTGTGTGGCAGACGTGCTGGGCCTCTGTCCCCTTCTTCCCTCCAGGGATCACGTGCAACTTCTTCCCGCTCTCCACATCCCCTGCAGCAGACTGCATCGGTCACCTCCTGCCTGATTCTGCAGGGCTAAGCCTCTGGCTTTCTTAGCCAGACTAGCAGGGCTGCCTTGGCCAGCATGTCCTCTTGGCAAGCCAAGGGCCATAGAGACAGGGCCAGCGCCTCCCCAGAGGGTTAGGAAGTAGAGCATGCAAGGCACACCTGATGGTCCCAGTTCACCCATCTCGTTCCATTAACGGGGACTCCTTGGTAATGAGGCAGGCGATACCAACTATCGACATCTGCTCAGAGCAAGGTGCAGGAGGATCACAACAGTACAGTGGAGTTCCTGCACCAGCCCAAAGCAAGCTGCCAGAGGGCAGAGCTGACGCTGTACTTAACAGTGCCTTCTATCCTACTGTGAATGCTAAAGACCGAGACTCATTTTTTCAGGAGGGTCAACTTATTTTGGGCCCCTAAGATCTAAGCACCCACTTCTCTCTCCTCCCCCCAAGGCAGTGGGAGCTGCGTGTGCATGGCACTTCTGGAAAACAGGGGTGTAGGTGTTTGGAGCTAAGCACTCAAGAACTGAGGGACACCCCTCCCCCCCAACTTAGTGGACACTTCTGAAGAGTTAGATCCTGCTTGCAGGGTCAGTGCTGCTCCAGCACTAAAATCTAGCTTGTAACGAAGCAAGAGACTTCCCTTCAGAAGAGGAGGCTACAAGCAAAACTAGAAATTGACAAGCTCTGACAGCCTGCCCTGCATAGCTATAACGTGTGAACACGGCACCTGCCGGGAGATGGGGGAGGATGCTCTTCACAACTGTCTTTGGAAATGCTGGAACCTGCAAGCCACTGGACTAAGAGGGGAGGTGGCCTAGGAACAACTCACATTTGATGATGGAGCAGTCTTTGGCAGCTGAGAAGATGCACTTGTCATCTGGAGAGATGACCAGGCAGGTGATGGGCAGCTGGTGACCTCGCAGCACTCGGATGGCTGCTGTATCTGGAGGCTGCAACTGTTCACACACAGCACCTCATTAACAAAGTGCTCCGGCGCCACAGAACTTGCATGGGGTTGCGAGCTATTTTATCCCTGGTGATGGGATACACACTGACTTCAGTGGGAGCGCAGCACCTCAAAGATCTAGCTGTCAGCACCCAACTTTAGAAGGTCAAGATTTTCAAATATTTAAAGGTACTTATATACCCCCCCACCCCCATTACCAACAACAGAGCACTACCAACACCCCTGTGATAGGACAATGCTATTATCCCCATTTTAAGATAGGAAACTGAGGCACAAACATGCCACATGACTTGCCCAAGGTCACTCAAGAAGTCTGTGGCAGAGCATGGAATTTAACCCAGGTCTCCTGCCGTCCAGTCCAGTGCTCTACCCATTAGGCCACGTTTCCACAGAGCAAACCTGGATCCACAAGAGTCCCAGGTTAGTGCAGGGCCACCTTGCCCTAACATGCAAATGCTGTTATTTTCAACTGAACTAGGAGCAAGCTCGTCCCAGGCGCCTGCATTGTGAGAGAACAGTCGATCTGACAGCTGGGAGATTGAGCCAGTCCAGAAAGGGATCACATGACAATGAGACACCCTCTCCCCAACCCCTCTCAAAGGGAGAATGGGCAGCCAGCAACCTCTCCCTGCCCCTACCCAACTCTGAAACAGAACTGTTCATGCAAAGCTTTGCAAACTTACATCTTTGGCGATCAGTCGCTGAAGTTTTCCCTTCTGTTCAAGCTGTTGAAAGTACGAGGCAGTTAGACATGAGCAGCAAAGCCCTAGGCACTCAGTCCCTGCATAGTGGAGGCTATTCTGCCCTTACAAGATGTGAAATGAGGACAATTTAGATACAAAAGTTGTTCAGTTGCACAGTCAACTGCTTGACCACGCTTCGGTTCGGCCTGAAATACATTCCAGAAAACCAAATAACCAATATCACCCAGGCTTGTTGCTAAAAGACAATAAAACGCATAGGACAGGAAGAACAGTATCATATCGAACCTGGCTCTGGGAAGCTCTCGTGAAGTGTTAAATTCACCTTACACCAAAGATGTGCTCCCAAAGTCACCACCCTAAAGCCACCTTTCTATATCCTACCCATTTACAAGAAGTGCTGTGTACAGCACCTGAAACTGGATTTAACCAATCAGCTTTCTATGTTGTTTTTCTGGTACCATGCTGTACCCCCTTACCTCTTTGTTCTGAGAGCATGCACTCCAGGTACTAGGCCCGTGAAGGCACCTCTGTGGTTTGCATGGTCTTATCTTTTTTCTTTGGGACATTCTAGTAGTAGCCTGAGAGAGTTACTCCCTACCTCTTGCTATGGTAAAACACTCCTGTGTGCTGATCCTGACCGTTTTCCTATCTTCCTAAGCCAAAGCATACTTCTCCGAACGCAAGGTGTTATGGGATACTTGACAAGGGTGGCCAGAATTGTGGAGAGAGTACAATACGTTCAAGTGAACATACCTTCCCAATACTTATATTAACACTAAGCCAATACATGTGTTGTTAGGCAACCCAGGTGATGGGCACCTTAAGAATGCTGATGGTTTAAACAGGAATATGCAAAGAGGCCCATGGGTGTGTTTACCTCTCTGCTTAGCAGAGGACTAGGTTCCCATGCATGGAGCAGCTGCTTGGTTTCCCTCAGGTTCAGAGAGCCATAGATCAGTGCAATCAGAAAGATGATTTGGGACGGTGGGTGGGGGGGGAGAGGGAAATTCCATGCAGAGATTCAAGTCACTTTCTCCCCAGCTGGGGGATGTTTGGAAGGCAGAGACTTAGCTTTGCTCTGGCCACTTAACGAAAGCCGCAGTAAAAGTCAAATGCACATTTGTGTGGGAGTGAGCAGACACTCTCGTCTCAGAGATTGTAGCCACGAGACAGGCCCTCAAGGCAGGCTGAAAGGAATTGGGGTGGGGGGGACAGAGGGGGGAAATCCCCAGGGCTCCAGGAGCATCAGAAGGGAAGAAGCAGGCGCAATTCAAAAGAAAAGACGTCAGCAAGGAAGGAGCCCCTGAATCCATTAACTCCTCTCCCCCAAGCGACCAACTCACCACATCTTCCTTCAGTCGGCCAGCAACCAAGTCCTTTTCCAAGGCCTCCTCTTCTGCCTTTTCCTCCTCTGCCCAAGACACAAGCACAGAGACAGCGCATTAGGAATAGAGCGCCGCATGCACAGCAAGAAGGCATTCGACTGAATCAATGAACATTCCTGCATTAGCAGAGCTTCCTCTCCAAGAGGAGCAAGCAGCAGACAGCCCTCAAGGAACTACACATTGGAATATTAGCACAGGGTTTTAACTATGCAAATACATGGGGAGCTGGTCCCCAGTGACTGCCTGGTCAGCCCTCCTGCTCCAGACTTAGACCCCAGATCATCGGGCCCAGTCTCATTTACGGTAGTTTCCTGGCCAACAGCAGACCACACATCCCCCATATCAACATAGAATCAAAGAATATCAGGGTTGGAAGGGACCTCAGGAAGTCATCTAGTCCAACCCCCTGCTCAAAGCAGGACCAATCCCCAGACAGATTTTTGCCCCAGATCCCTAAGCGGCCCCCTCAAGGATTGAACTCACAACCCTGGGTTACATGTGGAAACTTAAGCATTCTAGCTCTTGCATTACCGCTTTAAGGCAGAGTTTATCACTGTGCCCGTGCTATAAGCAGTTCCTGAGCATACTTCAGGGCTTCATCTGGTTGCATAAAAGATTTTATATCCTTTTCTGGGGATTATTTTTAAAACAGCTGGATAGGGGGTGCTGCAGGTGTGACTGACACACCTGAAACTTCCTCACTGGGTCATTCTAGTCTATAGAGGTTCTTATGACAAGTGTGGCATTGTAGGATCCAAGCTTATAGTCTATGCATCCTACACAGAAATCTTGGGAAAACATGATGTGCTTGCTGTTATGTGCAATGGAATCTTAAAGCTGCTAGTGTCTCGGGATGTTCCTGCCATTGCAAAGTCCTATTTTGGGTCAGTTCCCTGCTGGGTTAGGTGGTGATTTTGTCAGCTCAATGGGAAATGGAGCCAGGGCTTAGTGTGAATGCAGCTGAAAGCTAGAACTGCATCATGCCCATGGCTCCTGTATTGTCCCCACTTTAACAAGCATTGAAATGGATGTGCAGAGAAGGGACGGCCTTGCCCAACATCTCACAGTAAGTTGGCAGCAGATCCAAGGTCAGAATCCAGGCCTCTTGATCTAACTGCTACACTCCCTCTGAAGCATTCCCCAGAACAGGCTACAGTAGTAACACTGCCCTCTTGTTATATTAGTCTCAGTGAGACTGGTACTTATCCTGCTAGGAAAACAAGCTATCTAGATTTACCCTTAACCTGTTTAAAAAAAAAAAAAAAGAAGTCTTTTACTGCGATTACATGCAAAGGATAAAGTACAGGCGGTTGACAAATTCAGACTGGAGATACGGTGTACATTTTTCAGTGAGGGTAATTAACCACTGAAAAGTTTTACCAAGTGTCATGGTGCATTTCCCATCACTGGCAATCCTATATATGGGGGATATAAAGTGTACTTTAAAAGAGCCGGCCTAGTTCAAACAGGAATTGTTTCAGGGCAGTTCTCTGGCCTGTGTTATACAGGAGCTCAGACTACATGAGTACAGTGGTCCCTTTCTGGCCTTGGAATCTATGAATAACAGCACAGTCTCACTAGCAGATCTTTCAAGTCTTTTAAACCTGGCACGTGCCTAGTTTAGATCCTTTAATGACACCCTATTTGTGCTTCCCCAGTGAGACGTTGAAGGATGACAAGATTTGGAGCTGCTTTGTAATTTACAAGTTCTGTATGTTGGCTTGGTTATTGGGGTGCTTACTGTATGACTAGCCAGTTAGATCAACAGGGCAGTCTGAGAAAACCAGCAGCAAAGAAGAAGAGCTAAGCCACCACTCCACAAACACCTGAGAGTTGTTAAGGACTATGCCGGGCCTTTGTGCTTTCATGAGTCTGGCTCTGTCTCCTGCTGAGTCCACAGGACTCTTGACCAGAAGGGCAGGAACAGAGTAAAAAAGCTGCCAGAGGGTTAAAAAGGAACCCTCTCTCAAGGGAGGGGGAAAACAGGCTGGGACAGGCACCCGGTGGGTTGTCTGAAGAGGTCAGGCCTGCCTAGGCTAACAGTAGGGGATTGTAAGTCTTTAGACAAGGCAGATGTGTCTAGACTGTTCTGTTCTATAATCCTCTCTCTCCAATGCTTTGTTCCTACTGCAGCATAGAAATTGTGGTTTTAAGAGCCTGTTTTGGCACTATGCACACCTGTGAGGGTCACTGTGGCAGGGAAAGGCCAATTAACCCAGCTGGACGGTGGGTCAGGCTTAACTGAAGATGAAGCCCAGCTAATGGTGCTATAAAAGAGGGGAAGTCCTGAGCAGAAGGGGCTGGAGAGAGAAACTTTGCAGTTGTTCTGTGGGACTAGAGCGTGGGAAGACTAGGAGGAGGTTCAGGAATCCTCTCAAGGAGAGAAATCTGGCAGGAGCCCCAGGAGAGGGGTTGCTGGAAGTTTCCACTCTCTGGGAGAGGAACCACAGAGGAGCCTGCAGAAAGGAACTTGTGTCCTGGAAATGTTCCTGAAGGGCAAGGGTAGGGGGGAGAAGGGGTCCCTTAAAGCAGACCAGGGAGAAGAGAGACTCTAGGAAAGAAGCCCTAAGGGTCAGTGGCCTGGGAGGAGCCAGACCATCAGGGAGAAAGCCTGGGGAGGCAGCCTTCTGTAAGAGAGGAAAGGCCCTGCAGAGCCTGGGACGGGGGCAAAGCCTGCAGAGGATCAACCCTGGGAAGGGTGGAAGAGTTTTGGTACCTCTGACCTGTGACACTGTTACCCCAAAATACATGGGACTAAAGCATGACCTGACCAGAGGGCCAGGTCATGAGAAGAGACCCCTGCAGGGCTGGACCAGCTGTCACCAGGGGGCACTAAATGAGGAAAAAGATGCTATGCCACACCGATCCACACGGGGGAACTCCAGCCGTAAGTCCACTATCTTACATTACCGCTGATCAGACTCCTAAACGGAAGAACTGCAGGTGCCAAACTCAATCACACCTGCAGGATAACCAGCCTTGATACACAGGATATAGTAGCCCAGTCTAAAAGTAGGAGAATTGCAGAATCCTGTCCCAGGCTAGGCAAGGCCTGACACCTCAGGTGATGTACTCAGAGACGAGCAGCTTATTCTGCAACTGTGGCAGACTTTATCCAAAAAAGATCGTATTTTACATAGCAGATGACTTACAACAAGCTTCAGGACACAACAATGCAGATGACAAAGAAAGCATTTCAGAGCTTTTCTTTCAAGTTACTCAGAACACAGACAACACATCCATTGTTACATGTCAAGACAAACTGTAGATTCGATTTGTGTAGCGACTGGGTCACCTATGCTGAATCGCCACCTTTAGGAAAGTAAGCAAGCAAGGAGTAGGAGACACCGCATGTTTGTCACTTTTAATTTTATACTTCTCTATATACTAGTAAATGCATTAAACTATTTAGATTGTCCCCAAGGAGTTTAGACTGCCTCTTCTTTGGGGTCTGTGCTTAATAGCAAATTTCATCTAGCGAAAGCAGTCCACTTATTACAGCACTGAAGCCTGAGTAGCAGGGAAGAGGCACAATTCCTGTGTGCAAATCAGTAAGGAAGAGCAGCAGGGCTGAGGTACAGCTACTAGTGTCCTCGCTCCTCAATAGCATTCCCTCCACTGCCCAGCCACATGCACCCAGCCTGCCGAATACTCACCCTGCTGCCGAAGCTGCTCCAGGTAAAGTTTGGCTAATCTCAGCTTCTTCTCCTGTGCCGTCTCTTCAATCTCTTCTGCCTCATTCTCCTTCTTCCGCTTCCCACCAAATGTAGGGCTACAGGGGGAGAGAGGGAGGGTGGGGGTGTGCCTGGGAGGGGGTCTCTTCCTCCAACCATAACACCTTTCACTTTATAGACCATTTGTAGTCTAGTATCCAGTCAATAAAATCTGCTTTTGGACTGAAGTCTGTGTACGGAGGGACATTCATGCACAGCAGTTTAAGTACATAAACAGGCCCCACTCAACTTTATTTAAAAGTGTATAAAAGGGCAAGTTCTTTGTAATTAACCAAGAAATAACATTCAGTGGAGAGGGTCCCCACCACCTAGTATTAGACCCCACATTTCTGAAACAGTGGCCCCCACCGCTTTAAGTGAGAGGGACTGTGAAAGTCTGGCTTGGAACAAAGTGCTTTGTGCAACTGTAACTAACTATAGTTCTGCAAGAATCCATCCAAATGAACAGGATAGAACAGCCTGCATAGAACCATGGAACCAGAGTCTAGTCTATGTAGATACTTACACCATGCTCATCACTGTAGCATCTGAGTGCTTTCCAGCTGAGCAATGTGAGTAACATCTTCATATGCTTATTCTCTCCTCCCCTCCTAAAGGGAGAAGTGTATGCAGTGGAGTGGTCTGGGATTTTTTTTTAATACACCCTGTGGTGATGGTCCTTAATTCCTGGGGGAGTTTGCTCTCCAGTCTGGGACAGGCCCCCGAAACCACTGTCTCCTGATTGTAGGAAGTTGCACAGTGATCTCAGGAAAAGCATACAAAAGAAGAGCTCTGGGTGTCCTACCTTGTTTCCCCCCACTGAACCCCAGGAGGAGGGATCTCTCTCTATTTCTATGGCCCTCACCTCTACAGTGTTTGGGCACCTTGGAGTGGAAGGAGGGGTGTGCATGGATAGGGATGTTTCCTGGGTTCTGCTCTGCAGGGTGGCTATCTGAGGGACCCTTTGGGGCAACACCCACAGGGGGGCCAGTGCATTACTTCTCTGCATCGGAGTCGCTGGAGATCTCCTCATTCAGCTTCGAGCCAGCTTTCTGCCAGGATTTCTCCTCTGCATCAGGGACCTCAAGAACAAAACCCTCTTTCAGCACATCCTGCCTACAGCAACAAGGGGGGGGGGGAGGGGGGGGAGAACACCAGCCCACGCTGTCTCCCCTCTCATAACTGGGAGTGAGGGGGGCAATGGGCAGGGAGAGCCCACTCCTTGCAACCACCCTAGGATCCCCACAATGTTGTCACCTCCAGTCCATAATAAGCAGAGGAAAAGTGATAGGCAACTACCTTAGCCAGCCTAGGAAATCCTTGCTTCCTCCCCCATTCTCCCCAGCCCCCCACCTACCTCCATTCCCATAGTTTCCTCCAACTCCTCTAGCCTTCCACCCCGTTCCCCCTACCCAACCCCTCCAGCCCCCTAGCCCTCAATTCCCTCCAGCCAGCCCCCTGCCCCATTTCCTCTACCCAGCCCCTCTGTCCCCCCGCTTCCCCCAGCCAGCCCCCTGCCCCATTCCCCCTACCCAGCCCCTGTCCCCCCGCTTCCCCCAGCCTGCCCCATTCCCCCACGCTGCCCATCCGTCCCCGATTCCCCCACCAGCTCCTCACTTCCTGCCCTAACCGATCTCGATCTCCTCCCCAATGGGCGCCCTTGTTCCCGCCCCCACCTTGCGCCGCCTGCGCCCGGCTCCCCCCGCCGCGGCCGCTCGCTGCTGCTGCTGTTTCTTCTTAGCTCCCGACGCCGCCATGCTGCTGCCTCCGACCCAGCCTGCTGCTCAGCGCCAGCTGCACGTGGCGCTCTAGTTCCGCCCCTAGATCCCTCCCATTGGGCAGAGCCACTCCGGCCCGCCCTCAGCTCCCTCTCCATTGGTTGGAATTATTCACAGGTCCGCCCCTCCGTACTCGCGTTCCTTCCACGGCTAACGCCCCTTTCCTCCCGCATTGTGCCCCGCCTCCCCCTCCTATTGGACAAATCTTCCGCTCCCCCCCCCCCGTCTCCTGTTGGTGAGCTGAGCTGCCTGTAAACGGGGCTTGTTCCCCAGCAGGTTTCGTTTTGCACATGCGCGGTGTGCTCTGCTAAGGCGGGGGTTGTGTGAGGTGAGTGTGCCAAGAGGGGGCGCTAGAGCCTGCTCCGCACGGCGCGCTGGGGTGGCCAGGGTCTCGGGGCTAGTTTTGTGGAGGGCTCGGGGCGGGAGCCCCGGGACTGGTTTGCGGAGAGGGGCTGGGCCCTGGGCTGGTTTGGGAGAGGGAGAGGGCTTGGGGTTGGTTAGGGGAGGGGCTGGGGGGGTGAGAACTTGGGGCT